ACAGTCCAGAAACCCTCCTAAACCTTGTAGAGAAAGAGCACCGCGAAGTTGAAGAACGACACCACGAACGCGCCATCCCTAAACGGGCGAAGAGGAACAACCGGAAGTAGTAGCGAAAGGGGGGAGAAGAAAAGAAGGAGAGAGCGAGAAAGAGAGAAAGGAGGAGAAGGACCGAGATGCGTATTTAGGGCGCCGCAGCCCGCCCGGGGGAAGGAGAAAGGAACGCAAGGGAGAGAGAAGAAGAAGAAGGAGAGAAAAGAAGACAAAGGGAGCGAGATGCGTATTTAGGGCGCCGCAGCCCGCCCGAGGAGAGGAGAAAGGAGAAAAGGAAAAGGAAGAGGGAAGTAGTATGCGTTTTTAGGGCGACGCATCCCGCCCAGACAGGAAGAGAGGATGAAGACCAAAGCTCGAAGAGGAAGACGACGAATCCCACACAGGGGCCAAGAGGACGAACACAAAATAGCAACGAAAGGGGAAGAAGACGTCAAGCCAAACTACGTGAGGAAGAAGAGGAGTAGGAACAGGAAGGCGGACACGAAGACGACGACCAGGAAAAAGGTGAACAACGCGAGGACAACCAGGCCATCCCTAAGCGGGCGAACAGGAGGAGGGCGAACGCGCGGGTCATGAAAGGCAGCAGGAAGAGAACGGGAGGAAGGAGAACCCATCCCTAGGCGGGCGAAACACGATGGGTACACCCGAGGGTCCCCCACGAATGGGGTGTTCACACTTAGACTCCAGATGGGGGTACAACTGATGAGTCTCGAGTACAACTGATGAGTCTCGAGTAGGTGTAGGTTCGGCTTGCAGTCACTTGGTTTCCGTCTAGCAGCGAAAACGTTACAAATTCAACATGAAGCACACACAGCAAGAGAAACAACGGGCCAGAAGGACTTTGAATCACACGAGATGCACAGGTACGTCGAGGTGATCAGCCTCGATATCACAGGACAAGTGCGGCGTCTTCGTTGGATGCCGACCGCACAGGTCCCCGGCATCCCCCTGTGCAAGAAACTGTGGTGACAGGAAATTCTGTCACTCCGCACACACACACACACACGCACACACGCACACGCGCACACGCACACACGCACATTCACACCACACACACACACACACACACCACACACACACACACACACCACATACACACCACATACACACAACATACACCCAGCCTTCCTTCCACAATGCTCCGAATGTTCGGGGTGTATTCCAACTGGCTCAAGGTACGGAAGAGGTTCGCAGTGCGTTCCACCATCTCCCAGGTCTGGTAGCTGACGCGGCCCTTCTTCGCCTTGGGAAGAGCCTTCCTATGGAGTCAGACCCGTTGTAACGTGATGCTCTGGGGATGGCAAGGCCCCATCAAAACGACCTCCTTCACTGAGCGTCAACCAACAAGCACTCGCATACCCATGCTGTGGGGCCCGAGGCCCTGAAAAGCTGCGGCTGAGCTTTCCCGTGCTGACAGGCAGCTGGAGGGTTCGCGGCCACCTCCGGATCTGCGGAGGCCAAGTCTGTGACAAAACCTCAGGTGGAGAAACTACGAACATCCTGGTGGGCGGTAGTGGGGTCCCGGGCGACATTGCCGGGGGTCGGACTTTCAAAGGGGGGGGACTGCCCTTCTGTAGGGACGCATTAGCTGCGCAAGTTAATTACTTGTTTTGCTCCCATGTGAGCTGGCGCCTAAGCCAGGCAGCTTCTGTCCCCAAAGTCGGGGATGTCCTCCTCCGAGCTGGGCCCAAGTCTCTTCAACTTGGATGGTCTGACCTTAGCTAAACATGGCCCAAGAGGCCAACAACCACAGCGCTGCAAGGCTACAACTTGACACCTTCCTTCCCCTAGCGAATCAAAGGTGGCCAGGTCACATCAAGGTCACACAGTGTCTCGTTGCCCAAGCTGTAGCAGCTAAGGTCGCTCTTTTCCGGCAGCACAGCTATGCTCTTCACATAGCTCACCACCGCTTTGCAAAGGGCTTGGCATTGAACCCAATAGCCTTGGTGACAGGGAAAATTACATTCCAGGCCCAGCTCTTGGGAATTGCCGGGATTCTCAGAAGCGGAACAACCATAAAAGTGAGCTAGCGATTCTTGCTGTCCCCTCCCTTCCCCTTCCCCTCCCTGCCCCTGCCCCTCCCTGAATCCCCAACAACACCCTCAAGTTGAAAAGGATGAGGCTTGGAACAAGGTCCTGTAATTTCTTCATTGGTTTGAAATGGAGGGGTGGCCCAAACCCACATGCTCAAACTTTCGAAGACATGTACTACTTGACTTTGGTCAGGAGAACACAACTAAAGCGCAATCAAGATAAATTAATATAAACCAACTAGAACTAGCGAAAGCCTTGTTGTTTCCGCAGGTGTGACGGCCAAGAGGTTCACCCTGGTCCGCAGCAAAGAAAAGAATTGGCTACCCTGCGTGCTCCAACTCCACAGAGACAAACAAAAACGCGGACACGTAAATGCGCGCACAGTCATAGACACACAAACAAGCACAAACGCACAAACAAACAACCACACAAACGCACAAACGCACAAACGCACAAACAAACAAACAAACAAACAAACAGACAAACAGACAACCAAACAAACAAACAAACAAACAAACAAACAAACAAACAAACACACAAACACACAAACACACAAACACAAACACACACACACACAAACACGGAAACACACACACACACAGACACACGGACACACGGACACACGGACACACGGACACACAGACACACAGACACACAGACACACAGACACACGGACACACGGACACACGGACACACGGACACACGGACACACACGGACACACGCAAACAGACACAGAGACACAGAGACACAGAGACACAGAGACACAGAGACACAGAGACACAGAGACACAGAGACACAGAGACACAGAGACACAGAGACACAGAGACACAGAGACACAGAGACACAGAGACACAGAGACACAGAGACACAGAGACACAGAGACACAGAGACACAGAGACACAGAGACACAGAGACACAGAGACACAGAGACACAGAGACACAGAGACACAGAGACACAGAGACACAGAGACACAGAGACACAGAGACACAGAGACACAGAGACACAGAGACACAGAGACACAGAGACACAGAGACACAGAGACACAGAGACACAGAGACACAGAGACACAGAGACACAGAGACACAGAGACACAGAGACACAGAGACACAGAGACACAGAGACACAGAGACACAGAGACACAGAGACACAGAGACACAGAGACACAGAGACACAGAGACACAGAGACACAGAGACACAGAGACACAGAGACACAGAGACACAGAAACACAGAGACACAGAGACACAGAGACACAGAGACACAGAGACACAGAGACACAGAGACACAGAGCCACAGAGCCACAGAGCCACAGAGACACACAGACACACAGACACAGAAACACAGAGACACAGAGACACAGAGACACAGAGACACAGAGACAAAGAGACACAGAGACACAGAGACACAGAGACAAAGAGACACAGAGACACAGAGACACAGAGACACAGAGACAAAGAGACACAGAGACACGGAGACACGGAGACACAGAGACACAGAGACATAGAGACACAGAGACACAGAGACACAGAAACACACACACACACACACATCCAGCGGCTTAAGCCTCCGCAAACCTGTGAGCCAAGGCAGCACAGGCGGCCAAATATCAGGCAAAAACTTATCTGGCCAGCCTTCAGCAAGGTTCTCTGCTCAAACTAGCTCAGACTGCTACGTTTCTTCTGCCCCAACTGAAACACAGACACCCCAGCACAAGCACAGCTGTGGATGGTATGCCAAACGCGAAAACAGCCCAACTTTGCTCGCAGTTTGCTCGCTGAGGGGCCTCTGTCATTGTCCACGGGTTTGTCCTTGGGCAACCCGAGCTTGTCCCAGAGCTCAAGAATTTCGCCCGTCTTTGCAGTGAGATGCTCCTCCAACTCTTCGGAGGTGGTCCAATCAGTCTTGTCCTCGTGCTTCTCCTCATGGCTCAAGGCATGTGCAGGCCTGTATCCAGTGCGGGCAGCTGTTCCTTTTGCATTAGATGAGCGGCTGAGCTGTGCAAGCCTCCGGCCCCATCCATTTTTTAGGAGATACCACTGTGGTTACCCCGAACCAGTCCCACAAGGCTCAAACAATTCAAAACAACAAGGGGGCAGTCCCGTCGATGGGAGAAACCCTAAAGCAAAAAAAGCCCGTGGATCTCCTCCTCATTCAGAAGCAAACAGCTATCCTCCACTATCTCCTCGTGGCAAAGCGGCATCAGTTCAGAGAGGTCGGTAACTATAGGGACCTCATCCTCTTCCGGAATTTGGATGGCCGCTTTCCGCGCTGGATCTCGCACCCCCTGGGCAAAGGCGAAAAGAAGCGACAATACCAGAACGAACATGGCTGCAGCGTGGGGCGGCTCAGCGGATAAGCGCGGGTGGATTTTCAAACTACACTGGCCACTTGAGCCTGGCTTGGAGATTCAGTCTACAAACAGCCTTGGCCCATGCCAAGTCCTGGTTGTCGCCCTCTGAGTCAAACGTTGCAAGCAAAATGACAAAAGAAACCTGCCCGCATCCTAAGCCGCTCAAGCTGTCACCTAAACTCCTTGATTTGCCGGCATTGCGCACGGCTCTCTTTCCCAAGGTTCCCCAGGCCCGTAGAAGGCACCGTTCACATTCAGGTTTGAGCATAGCGAATAGGAGGAAAGGCTGCTTTTGATTGCCGCTACGTCCCTACCCCAAGAAGACAGCTTGCAACCCTTTGAGCCACAAAAGCCAAGGTGAACGTAAGATACCCCATCTATGGGTGTGTGAACATGTTGACTGGGAAAATTAAGGTGCAAGCAAAATGCGTCCAAACCTTTGCCTTGCTTCAGACTGCCCAGCACCCTCACCATTTTGGGCAGCTTCTGCCGTCTTGAGGAGAGAGACTCTTGGCCCCGGTCTAGCCCCATCCGACCGGCCAGGCGTGACTCAGACCGAGTCCTTCCCTGCCATGCCAGGCTATGCCCTTGGCAGCAAAGTTCTACCCGGCCCGAGCCCAACTGGCAGCGGGAGAATCGATCCGGTGCCCGGAGCCTTCTTTCAAAGTGCAAAGGGAAAAAGGTTGTTTCAGTCGTCTGCCTTTTCAATATCCTTCTTCTTCCTGCGAAGTTAATGGGGCTCCTTCCGGAGTGCTGATTGCACTGCCACATGCTTGCTTTCCTGCAATAGTCGGGGGTGCGCCATGCTGGATGCGGCGTCGAGCGTCTGTTTTGCACAAAGCCTCTCACAAGAAGTCGTGCCAAGCGAGTTTCCGCCGCCTTCAGGGAGAAAATTGCTCAGAGAGTTTGGTAAGTTGCGGGGGTGCCTCGGCCAACTTTTGTCAACATAGGTCGTACTAACGCATGTGCCTCTAGGCCTCGTGAAGTTGCTCCTCACAAAGGTTCTCCCTGAAAACAAGCCGTCAGGTTGACAAACATTCATGTGTTTACTGGCCACGGGGGGAGCTGGGGAGCAACCAAAGGCAACGAAAAACAGCCAGTGCCTCTCCCACACCACAAGCAGCCCGGCACAGCCAGACTCCAGCAGCCCAGTGCGATTGCCTCAGCTCAAGCTGACCTGTGATCTTGCCAAGGGTTTTGACAGGTCACCGAAGCTTAGGGCGATCCTTTTCTCCAAAAAAATACCACCGCGATGAACGATATACTTGATTCTTCGTTCACACCTGCAAATGCCGCAATGGCGTAACTACATACAATTGTAAATGCAAAAACGGCACAAGGATTTGGCACCGCTTGCAGCCAAGCGGCTTTCAGCCTTCCTCAGAACACAGGCAACACTGCCCACAAGCCCGCAAACACAGCCAGGCTTGTTTCAGAGTCCTGCTTGCTCCTGCTGCTGTTGCTGCTGCCTGCATACGGAGATTACGCTTACGTAAGGTAATATGAGTCCCAGCTGAGAGCGAGTGCTTGGCTCGGTTCCTCATTCTCCTATGATCACACATGGCACACGGCACCCTGGAATGGACTGGAAAATTGCATCCCCCTCAAGGGCAATTGCGCCCTCCAGTCTTCCATGTTCATGCCGAAGCTATCAACATCACTGCAGCCAAAGGGCGCACCGGGATCCACGCCAACATCAGACTCCAGGATGCCATAGTTTGAGGCCTCATGTTGCACTCAAGGGCTGGCAAAAATCACAGAATGGCCACAGAAAGCAGCGTTTCCTCATCCAAGAGCATGCATGCCGGAACAGTGGAACGGAGGATGTGATACCGAACAACTTGTGCCACAAGGCGGTAATTCTAGGCCTGACAAAGACGCATGCCACATCCTACGACCCGAACAGGCTGATAGCTGGTTCCTGTTTTAGTTGTACCCAGTGCCCCAAAAAAATCCTCAAAGTGGAAGCCCAAGACCAGACATGGCCTCCAGAAGCCGCCGATCCTGCGTAGCTATGCAGTTCCTGCGGCTCGAAGCAGCGCGCGCAAAAACCAAAGAGCAAACCTGCTGAACGCAGCCCTTCTCAGCACAAACCGCCCTGGTGCCCCAACAAGCTGGCCCCTTGGGACTGGCTCAATCGCAGGGCAATATGTCCTCCGAGCGTTTGTCGAAACATGGCAGGGAGCCAGGGAGCGTGCGTCGTTTCGTCATGCGACATGGATTTTGAGGAACCGTGGCCATTCAGCGTCTCACACGACGCTGTATGAGATGAAGCCTTCAATGCCTCGAACCAACATGCCATGAGCTTGCGATGCCGCCTCCATGTGCACTCCAACGGGGGAGGCAGATCCCGTTGCCCAATGGCTTGCCTGGGTGAGCCAGCGATGGGCAGTTGCTCCCACCCAACCCGCCCAGCACCAGGCACATTCCCAGGTGCACTGCCAGCGCCCGATTCAAGTCAAAGCGGCTGAATCTCAATATCGTCAATTCGTGGCTGACTTCCTCAGCTGAACTGTTTCCTGGATGCAGGAAGGTCCGCTGCCTGCTAATTCAAATCAAGTGAGACGCGCAGGAATTGACTCGAAGCTTGCACCAAGAGGCGGTATGCCCCTGCAGCTCGCAACCTGAGGCTGGAAGGCTGGAGGGCTGACCCTTCCACGGGCCACTGAATCCGCACCAATGTCACCTTTTTGGTTCCGGGCTGTGCCGGACGCAATCTGAACGGAAGCTTACTGAGGACATAAAGACGAATTGAGCCTCGGACCCCCTCAGCAAAGTGAACCCACCTTTCAAACCGGTTCCGGCAAAAAGAAAACCCGCAGCAGTCAGTCCGCAAGCACCAAATTTCTGGCGGCGTGCTGGATCTCCTCGATGTTGCGCATCTCCAGCTGGCGGCGGCACATGCCCCGGCACTCGGACCGCCCAGGGTGCTCATAGCAGTGAAACTTCTCGCAGTCCTGTCGCCACCGCCATCAGCACATGGCTGCGAGCAGTACAATAAACGTCAAATCAGCGTCCTGTGCGTTGTCGATCGGGGGTGGCCTCCGCCTGAGATTGCAGTTGTGGCAAGCATTGAGTCGCGGAAAAGGACATACACCCATCATACACCCCACGTTTGCATGGTTAAATAGAGGTGGTGTCGGGGCTGGAAACCTGCCCAGAACTGTTGAAGACAATAACGCCACGCCATGTTCCGAATCCTGCACCTGATCAACGCCTGCAGTTGGACCGGGCTGCCTTGAAACAGAACGGGCACCTCCTACGCATCTGCCTACGCGTCTGTGCCTCGGTGAGCCCGGCTTTAGAGGCCACATGGCCATGGGAATGCAGAAATGGGCTTCCAGCAAGAAACATGGCGCCCACAAAAAGCCCTCCATGACGGCCAAGCCACACGTAGACTTCAAAGGAGCTCGGCAGGAAGCGCATTGCCACGATCTGAGCCTAACTGGCCTAACTTCTCCCAAACCTGCCCGCTCTTTGTCATTGCTTGTGAGAGTGCTTCTGTTGTGAGCAGCAACAAGTGTGGTTGCAGCTTGCTTGGCGATTACACTTGTGAGTGCTGCCAGCTGGGCTGCTTGGGCCTGCCTTCTGCCAGCAAGAGCCATGTCTCCCACGCTGTGACTATACTGAAAAATCGCCCCTCGATGAGCGGCTGCCCGGACAAGTGCAAGGACGATCTATCTACCGAACCTTGCCGTTGGATTTGTATGAGCCAGCTTTGGCCAAAGAGCCAATGGCTGCGGCAGCATGAGAAAGACGATTGCTGTGCGAAAATCATATTGCTCATATGCGTAGCTGGCGGCCAAACAAGAGAGCCATCGCTACAGCACCGTCAAGACTGTGCCACCCGGATTGCCCCAGCTGCCAGTCGCAGGACGCAATATTTTCCCTCAGACTAAGCGCGGCCGCTTTGCAGCACTTGCAGGCGGTACCCACCTGGCAGCACACAGGATGAACACGTGGCAGGGCGCAGAGGAACAGGTTCTGACATGAATGGATCTCTGCGAGCAGTCTTTGGCACAAGGGGCTGGAGCTTGGCTCTGATGGTATGCCTCTCACTCGTGTCATGCAACAAACGCCTTCACAACCACAAGCTGCTTGCAGAATCATGCAAGTTCTAATTGCAGTTTGAAGGCCAGAATGGGCAGGCAGTTCTCAAGCTGCAGTTCTTTCGAAGGTTGAGTCACTCTGGGCCATGAGCCCCTTGGCTCCTTACGGGAAATTCCCTGTTGGTTGGGCTCGCACCCCGCAAAGCACAGCACCCGGGTTGTAGTCCGCCTGTCTTCGAGGATGGCGGCCAAATCTTTGCGCACCGACGCTGCCACCTGCTCGCAAAGCTCCTGGGCGCGCTGTGAGGTCAGTGGACAGCTTCCTTGGGCCAACTTTCCAGGGAAAGATATGGGGCTGATCAACTTACAACTTAGGGCCCCCAAACCATGGATAACTTTTCGCATGTGGGACATCTTTTCGCATGTGGGACATATCATCTTTTTAGTGGCTTTCCCGAATGACATCCCATGTGAAGGACCCTTTGGTCAACCCCCATATCAAAGATTGCTAATGAGAATAGCTTGCTGTTGCATGCAGCTTGCTGTTGATGGCTCCACTGCCACTCATCCTCCCACGCAGCAGTCCCGATTCTGCTTCAACACTCTCGGGAGGTTCTTCTTCTCGATGCTCTCCACTTCAACTTTGGCGCTACCTCCGGACTCCCCGCCCCCTGTCCCCCCGTGATGGCCCAGGAAGCCCGGGTGTGGTGTCACTCTCGTCAACCATGGTGTCTGGCCGGGAGGCTCTAATTCATGAGGCGTGATAGGCAAAGTGGAGCGTCCAGGGTCTGAGCGGTGATTGAAGATGAGTTGACTGAAGACAAGAAGACGGTGTAAACAAACAGGAGGAAAGCATTAGCCACCCCGGGTGTCATTGTTGATATCCTTGCTTACTTGCGGAAAGCGCCCGTAACATGCGGAGTGTCAAGCATGTTCAAGCAGTTCTTTGAAATAGCTGCAACGCACAAAGCCATAAGGCTTCTTTGTTCATGGATGGCCGGCCCCCTTTCGCGACCGGTTTCGAATCGCAATCGGTATCGAATCGAATCGGTTCGGTTTCAGTCAAAACGCACAGATGCACTTCTTCGGGCCCGGAAAACGCATGCGTGACCCGTCATTGTCCACCGCGTGGGCCGGAGTGGCAAGGCCCTGCTCCTCCTTCTTCCACTGCTAGTACTTCTAGTACTACTACTAGTACTAGTCTATAGCTACTACGGTTGCCACTTCTAGTACTACTACTTCTGCAACTACAACTACAACAACAACAACAACAACAACAACAACAACAACAACAACAACAACAACAACAACAACCACAACAACAACAACAACAACAACAACAACTACTACTACTACTACTACTATTACGACTACTGCTTGTACTACTACTGCTGCTACTACTACTACTGCTACTACTAATACTACTAATACTGCTGCTACTACTACCGCTACTACCACTAGTACTACTACTACAGCGTTTACCGATACTACTGTTACTTTACTAGGTCTACTACAATACTATTAC